ATATGTGATCCCTTTGTGCTTTTGCTGCAACTGTTCTGCCCACAAAAGTTATTGTAAAGGATTTGTGGTGTTGTTGTTGTTTCTGAGACAGGGTTTGGAACTAGCTGTGTAGACCAAGCTGACTTTGAACTCACAGAGATACCAGCCTCTACCTCTGAGCACCACCACCACCTGGTCATGGCATTTGCTACTAAATTGCATTTAATTCTGAAATGCAGATGTCTGAAATAACTTAGTGCTATAAAACCCTATCCAAAATTTTCTGACCTTCCGCATTGCCTTGTGGAGACCTCAGAAAGAGTCAAGGATACATTATTTTCCATGTTGAATGACTGAAAAGCTTATGGAGCTGGGGGACACAGAGAACAGTAGGTGGCTTTGGGCACTAGTATCTGGAGATTTTGAAGTAGGAACGTCACTCATGTCTTCTATAATTATCTTGAAAATGAACTGACACAATGTGTGTAGATGTTATACAGGCAATGGGTTTACAGGAAGTCTGGTCCCACCTTTGGCCTGGCTCGCTCCTTAGGACACACTTCGTCTGTTCTGGGTTCAACACTGAGAAGCTATTATCCTCTCTCAATTAAAATTCCCTTCTCCTCCTTCATTCTTTCCCCTCTCCTTTACCTATTTATATTTATTTATATATTTATTTTTTGAAGAGGTTGCAGTGTCTTATGTAGCCCTGTGTATTCTTGTCCTCCATACTCTACCTCTTTAGTGCTGGCATCACCATATTCGGTTTGACATGGTGGAGGAGGTCGAACCCAGCCCCTCATGCCTTCCAGGTCATCACCCTGCCAACTCAGTTCAGCTTTTGATGGTTTCCAGTCACCTCAGAATTACAGCCAAACTACCTCATATTTCTTCCCAGGTCCTTTACCAGTGGACACATGCATCCTTGCGTTTTTACCTTTATTTTATTTGTATTTTAATTACTTACTTGTTTATTTAGTGTGTACATGCATGCAATTGTATGTGTGTCAGGGGAGAGGACAGTTTTGTGAAGTCTACGCAATCCTTCCACCTTTGCATAGGTTCCAGGGATCCAGCTCATGCAACAAGCACCATTACTCGCTGGGCCATCTTGCCAGCCCTTCATTTTATTATCTTATTAGTGTTGTTTTTAAAATTCTCACCTCTAACCCTTGAGAAGAGCTTTCTTTCCACTCTCTTCCCTCACTGTCCCCGAGTTCTAGCCTCCTCTTCATCTTCTCCTTGACAGAAAGCTTTTCTCAGCCTCTCAAGTCTTTGGGATGTTGTAGAACTGGTCCCCATGAAAGTGCCTGCCACACCACATTGTGAATTCCCCTTCACATTTTAAGTGTAAGATACACTTCTCTCAACTAAAAATCTTGCACTCAAGCACACCATATAAAAAAGATTAACTGGCCCGGGCGTTGGTATTGCATGCCTTTAGTCCCAGCACTCGGGAGGCAGAGGCAAGCAGATCTCTGTGAGTTCGAGCCGAGCCTGGGCTACAGAGTAAGTCCCAGGACAGCCTCCAAAACAACACAGAGAAACCCTGTCTTGAAAAGCAAAAACAAAACAAACAAACAAAAAAGAATAACTGGGTTATATGTGGGCTTATTCTGTTGACCAGGTGATGGAAACCTGGAGGGATTACAGCAGCCTTAATATATGCTCCATGATCCCCAAGGCAAGTCTGGAATCGTGGCTTTGCCAAAATGAACCAGAAAGTGAGGAGGAACTACTCATTTCTATTCTCTGTCAGATCAAAGGTTGGAGGACAGCAGGGACTATGCACGTGTCCTTCCTGTCCTACTAGAGAACTGAACATCAATCAGCACAGGATAGAGCAGATACCAGGAAAGCGAACCAGTCAACAATGAGTTGTTGCTGCACTGAGCTCAGTGAAGGGTTTGTGATGAGAACTGTGGGTGTCACATTGACCTTCAGAAGACACCTGAGCTCAAGAAAAGAATTGCTTCACAAGAGGTTAGTGAATGAGTCCTAGCTTACACCAACTCATTTCTACCCTAAAACTTTCCGGATCCCTGTAAGAGATGAATATTCCGGCGTCCACGAGTTACAAACGTGGTACATGTGGCTCACGAATGTTCCATCTTAATAAAGAGAAGGGTTTCAAAAGGTATTCATACACTGCTCTGAAATGCGAATCATATCGTTTAACAAGGAAAATCCAAGTCTCAGAAGGAACAGCATCTGTATATGACTCATCTCTCAAGGAGGAACACAGAAAACACTCATCCTTCCAGATTTTCAAAATGACAATGACAGGGTTTGGAGACCACAAGTCCTCAGAGTCCTACCTGACAACAGGCTGAGGCTTCTGGCTGGCCAGAAGAGAACAGTGATTCTGTGGAATATGCTCTATGGTTGGCCCTACTGTTCTAAAGCAATCCAGTAGGATTTTATTTTTAGTCATTGAAAGGAAAAAAACTCCTTCAGACAACAATTACTTTCAGTAAGTGCAGTTCACAACCTAGCTCAGGACAACCTTCACTGCACAGCAGGTAGGTACCTCAGGGGCCCTACAATGCACAACAACCAGACACCACCGAAACACTACAATGCATAGCAACCAGGCACCCCAGAATACCCTACAATGCACAAAAACCAGATACCTCAGGACATTCTACAATGCACAGCATCCAGATATATCAGGACACCCTACATTTCACAGCATGTAGGCACCTCAGGACACCCTACAATGCACAGCAACAGATACCCCAGAACATCCTACAATGCACAGCAACCAGACCTCACAGGACACCCTACAATGCACAGCATGCACATTCCCTAGGATATCCTACAATGCACAGCATGCACATTTCCTAGGATATCCTACAATGCACGGCATGCACATTCCCTAGGATATCCTACAATGCACAGCATCACAGCATGCACATTCCCTAGGATATCCTACAATGCACAGCATGCACATTCCCTAGGATATCCTACAATGCACAGCATGCACATTTCCTAGGATATCCTACAATGCACAGCATGCACAGTCCCTAGGATATCTTACAATGCACAGCATGCAGGCACCTCAGGACATCTTACATATCACAGCATGCAGACACCTCATGACACCCTACAGTGCACAGCAGGAAAATACCTGTCCAGCCCTCAAAAACACAACTCTCACTCGAAAGAGATAAGAGAGAATATGTTCTAGAGCCAAATCACCATGGCCCAGGAACAGATGTGTATGTTACCTCAAATTCCTCACTCCAGTGTGGAAGCAGTTTCGTGAAGTTTTCATATTAACAGAACAATGAAGGTCATGAATGAGGACACTTTTAAAACACTTGGTGGAGGCATGAGGCAGGTGGGTGGGGCAAAACAGAGAAACCTCTTCGGTGGGCCCCCAGTGAAGGAGTGCAAGGGGATGACACCTTAGGTGTCTGAAACTTCTAAATGACTTGCCCACTGTTCACAAAGATGTTAGGTCAGGTACAAAGCAAGGCAATGAATGGCCATTAACAGGGTTAACAGGGCTGAACACAGCCTGAGATAGCTGGGCTCTGAACTTTGCAACACTCTAACTTCTCCACAATTAGTACAGTTCTGATCAGTTAATAAGCCTTGTGCAAGGTTGGGCTGGAAGTGGTTTTAGGGTTTTTTGCTTTTGTTTTTTTTCCTTCAGGAACCATTTTCCATATCCATAGTGTGTGTTGTCGTGTTCACTCGTGTGAATTAGGACATACACGCCCCTGCGCTCACGTGGGGGTCAGCAAAGCCCCGTGTGTGGTTCCTACATAGCACAACCCTCGTCCTTGCCTTCCACTTTGAAATAAAGACAGAGCCCGCCCCCATCTACATGAGCCAGCATTGCTCCTTAACACTTCAGACACCTCGAAGGCACTGCCATTAAGTACAGCAATTCCCAGAGTTCTTCCAGTCTGAATATAGGACATATCAAGTAAGTAAGACACTCATAAGAGATGAAGGTGTCTGCTATGAATTTATCAAGATGGTCAATATTGCCAGCTCAAACACTGAGGTCACTAAGAACAGCTTAGTGATGTCCTTGGTGTTTGGAGGCAGGGCGACTGTATGGGAGTATTGGCACTTTAAGCAAGTAAAAGAGAATGAAATTCATGTAGGAAAACAAAAGCAATGAAACTTAGACCATTCTGTGTATCAGAGGCAAGGACTGTACCAGGCTGGGACCACAAGATCCAGATGAGGACCTCAGCCCCAGGAGGAAAACAAACTCTCCTTGGAGTCTCTGGGACCCAGTGACCCATGTGTCTTCTGCAGGACAGGAAAACAAGCAGTCTGCTCAGGACCTAGCCTAGGACAGCCATTTCAGGAGCTTGGAAAGCCTCAGCACAAAGGAAACCAACAATAGAAACCAGGTCCCCTGCGGCACAAGGAAATTCCAGCAGCCCTGCCTCCCAGACTCCTGAGTGTCTGAGCCTCTGAACTCCAAGGGAATGAAAGTCACTTGAGTGACACAAGGGGCAACACTGTCTTCCCTTAAAGATGAATGATGTATAAATTACCAGTTTGCAGCAGAAATAGCCACAATGCTGAAACGTGTCATTCCTCACTAAAATAAGTAAATAAGAATTATGTCATCCAGTAAAGGTCACTGGATTCCACCACCTACCACAATGCCTGCTTTCCTAGTGTCAGATTAGCCTGACCCGAAGTGGAAACAGCAACTCTGGAAGGAGTCACCCACATCCAGGTATCAACTACTCCAGGACGCACACCTACCTACATGACTTCTAAGGTGCAGGGGGAAACCTACTTGGCCATCATACTGCCTCCCACGGCCCTCAAGACACTTCACACTCTTTAGTACAGTTCTGGAAGGAGGGGCTACCTTAGGTGGGGGCGAAGCAGGAGAATCCATCGCCCAAACAATGCCTTCAGTCTGAGTTCGTTTGAAAAATTAAAAAAGCTAAGGGTCTGGGGGCAGAGTGCATGGCCCAAAGAACCCGACAACAGCAAAAGTGACCTTGTCAACGAAGAACACAAATCAATGAGTCTCTTACCGTCTCTCCTGAGGTTGGCATTGCGCAAAGCTTTGATGGATGCGCTCTGCGGAGTCGCAAAAGTGTCCCGATAGCTGCAAAAGTTCGCGCACACAAGAATGGAGATGAAGATGACTCGGTGCATTTGGGACCAGCGACCCAGGGACAGCGTCGCTCCAGAATAAATATACAAATAAATGAAGCCCACCGGGTTGGGCCGGTGGACCTCTGCTGCTCCGCCCCGCTCCTTCTCCTCCAGAGCTGCCTGGGCCGCCCAGCTACTCGCCCAGCTCTTCCCAAACTTCCTGCATGCTGAACTTTCCAAGCGCGTGTGGGTGCCGCACTTCCTTGTGGCGCTAACTAGATCAATGGGGACGGGACAAACAACAGGTTGACGTGGGTTCGCCCCCCTCCGGTGGCCGGAGGCTGCAGCACAGGCTGCAGGGGGCGGGCGGCACTGAGTCTGGGCCTCGCAGAGCTCGGAGGCTGTGGAGTTTCTCTGCAGTGGAGCTGGGAGCAGGGATCCCAGAACCCTGGCTGGAAGTCCCGACTAAATCAGCTCTGCCAGTGAGCATGCCCAGTTTGAAGGTCGGCCAAACCTTTCTCATCTCCCAGGGTTTTATAGGAGGTCAGGAGGAGTGGGGAGAGGATAGAATTTCTCTAGAGGTGAGTGCTAAGTCCTCTTACCAGCCAGTGAAGGTGCTGGCCTTAGTGACAGTGGGGTCTCAGGGGTGGAGTGGAAGCGTTAATTGTACTAGAATCCAAATCAGTCTACTTTGTGCAGACTTCACGCCTCTCAGAGGGAGATGCAGTCACAAAGAAGTCCATGCTGGGGGCTTGCCTTGAGGGCCCAGTCAGGAGACCTGAGCTGATTCACTGGTGATAACAATGATAAACAAGGCCAGCCAGCTTTCCTAGGCACACTGATCTATGCTACCTAACGTCTGTGCAGTAACCAACATCTCCTTGTGAAATGAAACAGCAAGATTCAGGGCAAGAAGCAGGAGTGTTTGCACACCTTGAGGCAGAAGGGGCTGCAGGCAATTGGAGGCCAGCCGGCTCTGCATAACACTTTTCTGAGTCAACTAGAGCGACATGGTATGACTTCTTTCAAACAACAACAGAAAATGAATGAATGTATCAATAACTTAGTCAGGTGTACTGGTGCACGCCTGTGGCCTCAGTGAGTGGGCAAGAGGATCAGGAGTTCGAGGCCGTCCTAAGCTGTACAGTAGACTCCATTCTAAGGCTAACCTGGGCTATATGGAGACCCTATCTAACATAAAACAAAGCAAAAACCTGAGAAGGTCGCTTGCTTCTAGATTGAAAATATGTACATATGATACAGGGAATGAATGAATTATTTGGGCAAAGGTCAAGAACCAGCAGAACTAAGGAAAACAAGGAAGTACCAGGCCTCTCCCCCAACCTCTTTTCTCTTTACATTTGAAATGCAAGTGGCAGTTCTTAGCTTGTGTGGCTGTGTCAAGGATTAGATTGAATAATTTTAGACTATGATAATTGTTTGTAGCTAAATCCAAACACATGTTTCTCAACTGTTTGCTGATGACATCTATGAACTAGAAGTCCCAAGCTCTTTTAGGTGAAGTCTAAGGTATAGGACACACATCATGTCTGCTCACTAGTCATGCTGAGAGGGAGAACATTTACGAAAATGAAGACTTTACAAGTTACTCTACCATCTGATACTCAAGAAGTTATGATGTGGGTCACTTGATTTCAATACCAACACTGTTTTTCTTAAGTCAGTAAAACAGAACACAGTAGCTAAGAAAGTTTACTATCGAGCTCATCGAAGACACTCTTGCTTCATGGATATCATCATTTTAGGGCCACAGGCATGGCAATGTACCCATTATTTCTTGGACTACAATCAAAAAGTTAGAAAACCTTTGAGGGAGAAAAATTCTGATTTTTGTTTCAAAATATAATCTGCCCAAAAAGTAGGTTTGTAGGAGATGGTTCCATCAACAAAGTACATGGAGACCTGGGCTCGGGCCCGAGCATTTATGCAAAAGCCTAGGACTGTGGCGCACATTTGAAACCCCAGGGCTGTGGAAAGCAGAGACCAACAGGCCCTTGGGGTTTAAGTGGCTAGCTCATCTAGCCTAAAGGGCAAGCTCGTGATTCAGCCAGAGACACTGTCTCAGAACCCAAGGAGTAACACACACACACACACACACACACACACACTTAAAAATAAGCATAGGTTTGCATTTTCTCATCTATTTATTTGACAAGCAGTAGATTTTCTTTTGCTGCATTCTCTGTTCTAATATCTTGAAGGTGAGATATCAGTGAATGGAGACATAGCTCTTAATACTTTGTGACATACAGTCGAGTGAAGCAGAGAGACCACAGCAAACGGATATATACGTCTGCACTGATAAGAGAAGAGGGGCCGGAGACAGATGAGCAGGCCTCGGGGAGCTAGCCAGCCCATTTCCCAGACAGAGCTGGAAATGCTTGTTTAATTTCATACTTAGGTTCAACCATGAGCATGTAGGAAAAATAAGAAAATGGGCAGTGAACAATTATTATTATAAGTATCAAATGGTCAGATTATCTATCTCCATTTCATATAAAACATTAAATTGAAAGTATTTATTTAAAGGAGTTTTCTCTGAGATTCTGATGCTGGACCCAGTTAATACCTGGTGAATACATGGCAGCAAGTGCCAGGGCTGAGGATGCTCAAAGTAGTGAGTGTCTAAATGCAAGGATGAGGCGCAAAACCAGGCGCGTGAGTCAAAGTCATTGTTTTCAATCCTGTCTCAGTATTATTTAATAACTAACTTTTCCAGACTAGGCCAGTTATGGCTACTAAGGTATTACTGTGCACAGCATAAATTTTAATAAAAATACTTTGAGAGTGGGAAAGTTCTGACACAAAGGGGGAAGATTATTTCAATTTCTTCTTTATATGTGTCTCAAGCTAGCTCAACAAAACACTGCATTAGTCATTGCTTTTAAATGCTTGTGAACCAGTGAGAAGAATGAGCCAACACAATGAAATCAAGTTTATAAATATTATTATTATGATTAACTACTTAAATCAGCTCATCTATATTTAGTCTCTGCCCAGTGAAATTAAATTCATATAACTAAAGGATGCATGTATTGTTAAGAAAGTAAAAGAAATAATAACCTCTTACAATAGGTCTGGCCACAACGGTGTTTATCCCAAACAAATATTGTATTAGGAAGGGCCTGAAATATGATTAAGTTAGGACGAAAAACTATTTTTATCATGTGCCCTTTTCCTCTATAATAGGAACCAAGAATGCTGTTTTCCGTTTCATTTTCAAACATTCTTGGCTTCTTTTGTTGCTTGTAGCAGTCTCGGTGGAAAAGGAACGAAATGTGGTCTGGCCTTTGAAAGACTTCTCAACTTGGCAAGTGGGTCACCCCATTCCTTTTTATTAAACTGAACTTGTGCCAGTCTTTAAATTGTAACGCATGCGGAACCATTCTCGTGACAATAGTTGCCATTTTTAGGATGACTGCTTCCTTCAAAGAGAATCTCCTGTGTGGTTCACCTTTCGCTCAGTAGGTCTCATAAAAACCCAGGTCCAGGACATTGCCTCCTGATTTCTACTCTGTCCTTCCTATGACACCCCCATGAAGAGTGCCTTCAGGGCTCTACACATTTTGTTTTCTTTTTAAAAACATGCCCTCCCAGATTTCAGTGTGTGATACATGTGAAGTCTCATTCAAACTCCCATGTATTTGAAACATTTTTGTTACAAAGTCTGGTTGTAGTCTGTCTTAGCTTCATTTCTGATAGTATGAAAAAATATTCAGGCCAACAACAAGGAATAAAGGGTTTATTTTACCTCATAATGACCCATCACAATTCATCACTTCAGGGACACCACAACAGGACATCAAGCAGCTAGTCACATCATGTGCTCAATCAAGAGTGGGGTAAGGGTGGGATGAGTTGGGTTGGGGGAAGTAAGGGGAGAGGGTTTCAGCGCCCTCAGGCTGCCTGTCTGCTTGCTTCCTGGTTTACTTAGTACTAAGCTAGCTTTACTCTTAGTTCAGAGTCTCCTGGCCAGGGAGTGGTGCCAGTCACGATGGGCTGCAGGACCAAGAAAATGCCCAAGGACATGCCCAGAGATCAATCTAATATGTGCAATTCCTCCATGTGATTCTAGATTGTATCAAAATGACTGTTAAAACTAACAGCACACATACTAACATGAATGAAAGATTTCTACACTATAATCAACATGGTTTTAAAATTTTAATTATCAATATAAACTAAAGTGTCAGCTCAAATATGTATTTTACATGGATTTTTTTAAATTTGGTTTTTACGAGACAGGGTTTCTCTGTATTGTTTTGGAGGCTGTCGGTCCAGCCTGACCTCGAACTCACAGAGATCAGCCTGCCTCTGCCTCCCGAGTGCTGGGATTAAAGGCATGCGCCACCACCGCCCGGCTTTACACAGAATTTTTATAGTTATCTTTACTTTCAAAATGTGTCCCCCATTAAAGAAACCAATTATTAAAATGTGTAGAATGTATCAATATTTCCAAAATGAAGTATTAAGTTTTTTGTCTGATTAGGAAATAGCCAATCACTTTTGAGTCATCTCATTATTTTCTCTGAAAGATAAAGAATAAAGTAACCTTTGAGTAAAACTTGTCCATATTGTCTCTGACTACTCTGCTATATGCATTATAATAATTTCTTTATTACCATATTATTAAAAGTGAAATAAATTGAATAAAATACTTTAACCACCTATTCTTAAAAACATTATGTTCTCCATGTAAACCCTTCTATGGTCTGCTATAGACATTTGCACATACTTGGTAGACATATAGATACTCGTGTACCAACACAAATACAATATAAATAAATATTTTTAAGTTGCCTGGTAGTTGACAGTGATGTAGAAAGAGCAGCAGACCCAGGCTGTGGTAGCACACGTCTACAATCCCAGCACTAGGGAGGCAGAGGCAGGCAGATCTCTGTGAGTTCCAGGCCAGACTGGTCTACAAAACGAGTTTTAGAATAGGCTCCAGAGCTACAGAGAAACCCTATCTCGAAATAGCCCCCCCAAAAAAAAGGAAGGAAGGAAGGAAGGAAGGAAGGAAGGAAGGGCAGTAGAATTCCTGCTTTGTGAACTCAGATGTGGACCTTTTAATATCTCTATGTCCTGATGGTAGAAAGCCACTGTATGTCAGTGCGGTAAGAAGCTAGGTGTTTCCAATTCATTTTGCATGGGAATATTGGCATTGTAGATACAAACATACATTTTGTGTAGAAGCCTATAAATAAACACCAAACACATTTAGGAAGTTCTAAAGTGGACACATTTGAACAGTAAGTTCCAGATGCTTGCATTTCCACTACTGCCTTGGTGTCTTGACAGGTCAGTGAGCCTAGCCTCCAGCCTGTTTGGTCGTCATTGTTTCTCACTGTGCTGCCCATCAGCCTTGGCGAACGAGCCACTGAGCTACGAGTTCATCACATCGATGAGTTCC